TCTCTAGTAAAAGTCCTGGCAAGGAAGGAATGCAGTGTGGCTCAATTGGTAGCATGCATGCCCAGCATTCTGGAAGCCCTGGGTTTGATCTCTAGCATCCAATAAGCAGGTTCAGCGGCATGCTGATGCCATGTTAGCACTCAAAAGTGGAGGCAAAGGGATCAGAAGTTCAAAGTCATTGTCACTATGGGTGGGGTGTGAAAGACTATAGGATTCCTAATAGCAATGTGCTGAGCCCTCCTGCTCCTGGTTGTTATTGTAAATGCCCGACGGCCATTAGCAGAAAATCTACAGAGGGGTAAATTACAGCTGCATGGGCTTGCTCCTCATTCTCTGACTCCATTTACCACCTATGTCCGAGTGTTGGTTGAGCTCCCAGTGCCCTTGGCTCATGGGCCTATTCCAAACGGCAGGATCCAGCTCTGTCCCCATGAGTGGCCTCCTGGCTTTCTGTGGCTCTTCTGCACATCTGCCACACCCCCTTCTGCTTGGTCTCCCTCTACCAGGCAAGGAGTTGGAGAACCATAATCATGGGGCCACAGAGCACAGCTGGGGCTCAGGAGGCCCCTTAAGTCACTCCCTTCTGGCCTTGGCGACTGGGGTCTCCATCTGAGACCCACTGGGAAAGCGAGAGGAGGGGTGATGGCTGAGGAGAAGCCCCCAGGGACTCTTCCTTAGCTCGGGTTTGGGTCACTGGGTACCAGGAATCTGTCCTCCAGCCTCTCTGACTCTTCCCGCCCCTGGATCTGTGACTCCACAACCTCTGCTCCTGTCTGTGAGCCCTAAGACACTCAGGTTCAGTGGGGACAATATCGCCCCCAAGAGGGGAAACAATTTCTTGGTGGAGGCAACAACAACAAAAAAGAAAAAAACAAGATGGGGATGCCTCCTCCTTTGACCCATAAAACACCAGTGTGTGCCCAGTGCAGAAGGGGAACCGTGCACCTGTAGGATTTGGATCTCATGGGACAAATGACTAGGAAATTTCAGCTGAGGGTACTTCCAGGAGTAATAATGAGGGAAGACAGAGAGGCGGTGGCCACGCCCTCTGCCGTCCTCATGCCCATCTTCTGGGACTGCCACCTAAAGTACTTGCTGGTGCGCGCCCCTCCCCCAGCTGTCTGCTCTAGATCCTGTGAGAAATCTGAACCACGTGGCTCTCCTCAGAATCCTTGACTTTTCCGTCCTCAGAAAGCACTGTGGCCACTGCCAGGCCTGATGCCTGACGGGAAGGGTAGGCCCACAAGACCCTGATTCACAGAAGCTCACCGTTAGTGTCCCGGCCTTGGGTTTGACCTCTGACCTTTCGCTGACATAGGAGTCAACTTTCAGAGTGAGTCCTAACATCAGAAAACAGGCCGCGGGAAGCCATGGTGGGCCTCCTTCACGCTACACGGGAGGCAGAGGGAGGGCCTCTGCCCCCCAGCCCCCAGGCATGCTGCTCACATCATGGGGGTGGGGAGCTGTCCTCACTGTCTAGTGTCTGGCCAGGGGCAGGGCTGGGCTTTAGAATTCATGTGCCAAAGTTACCTCACAACCGGGTGTGTACCTGGGACCCAGCACTCGGAAGACTAAGCACAAAGATCATAAGCAGGAAGCAAACTTGGGCTACATAAAAGACTGTCTCAAAGGGGAAAGTGAGGCATGGTGGGACACCTGTAACACAGACCGGATGGACAAGCTGAGGCTGGAGGCGACATCAAGAGGAGAGAGCTGGGGGGAGGAGGGTGCCTGTTTCACTCCAGAGCCTCGGGCAGTCAACGGCAAGGAATGAGACTTGTAAACCACAGAGCCCGGCTTTCCCAGCAAATGCCCATGACCAGAAGACCCCAAAGCACACAAGAAAGAGAAGCAGGTGTCAGGGCCCCAGAGGGGACAATGATGTCCTTAAACCCATCCCTGGAGAGCTTCCTGAGGAGCAAAGGGAGTAGAGGCACCATCTTCCCACCCTCCAAGTCTCTGATGGCTTTTCCCTGTCCCCTGTGGATAGATGAGCCCCCCTCTGTCCTCCATGGATGGAGTAGTGCCTCTCTCTTCCCCGTGGATGGAGGACTCTCCCTCTCTCCCCCATGGATGGAGGAGTACCCCTCTGTCCCCCATGGATGGAGGACTCTCCCTCTCTCCCCATGGATGGAGGAGTGCCCCTCTGTCCCCCATAGATTAAGGAGTCTCTGGAATCTAAGAAAGGGTATGGAGTCTGCCAAGACAACATGGGTCAGCACACACTTGCCTGATGCCCATGATTACTTCATTTCACTGTGGGGAGAGGGGGAGACCATGCGTCTCAAGTGACTAACAGGAATATGGCAGAGTTTGAACCCAGCGTCTTCAAATTTGATTTTTGTCCCAGTATGTGACAAAAGGACCATAAAACTCTACCTCTGCTACCTTTGCCCAAAGAAACCCACAAGAGCCTTTTGCTTAGAGTTTAGCTCTCTGTCTCTTGTGTCTCTCTGTGTTTCTTTCTCTGTCTCTGTGTGTGTGCATGTGCATGCGTGTGCCTGCATGTGTGCGTGTGTGCGTGTGTGTGCGTGCATATGTGCGTGTGTATGTGTGTGAGTGTGTGCGTGTGTGTATGTGTGTGCACGTGTGTGTATGTGCACGTGTGTGCGTGCATGTGTGTGTGTGTGTGTGTGTTTCTTTGCCCCATTTCTCTGCCCTTGTCTGGTGACCTCTCCCTTCAGAGTGCAACTCCTCTAGGGTTACTCATTGTGCTCATTCTTGCCTCAGGCCAGGGGACTTTCTGAAAGCAATCCTATTTTCAACATCCAATTCTCAATTATCCCTGACTAGACACCCCCATCTTCAGACTGGGAGCTTGGAAGTTTCTACACCCCCCCCAAACAACAAGGAAAGCAAGATAAAAAGAACAGACTTGCTCCACCCTTCGGGCTGGCAGTTGGAAGCCAGAAGCCCCGAGTCCTTGATTTTACTTTGAAGCGGGAGGGAGTATAAGAAAATAGGCTCTCTCCTGAGCCAAGTCAGGGCCACAGGGTCTTAGAGCATCCCCATCCTTATTCCCTTCCTGCATCCTCTCCTCCTACACAGCCCGGCCTTTCAATGCTCGCTGCTCACCCTCTCCAGCTGCTCACATTTCTAGGCTTTGGGGAAAAGCCCATACTTCAAAGAAAGACATAGAATCCCAGCCTCTGTCCAACCATGACAGACCCTGTCCTGTCCCCAGAGCTGTCACCGGGAGCTGTCACTGGGAGCATCACCAGAGACTGCACCAGAAATGCTCAGTTCGCCGCTTGTGGTTCCTGGGATAAGGGCGAGAAGAGGAGGAAGTACCTTCCTTCCTGGACAGGAATCAGACCAGAAACACAGGCTAGGCTAGGAAAGGGGGCTTGCAGCAGGGCATGGGAGGAGGCCTGGAGGACTGAGAATGCCCACAGAACTTGAAGCCCCTGCCCAAGGCACATAGAAAGGATTTCCCACAGTCAGCAAGACAGGAGCAGTGCTGGATCAGAGAGGCCGGACACTTCAAGCCCAACCCTCTCCCTTTCCAGCTGATGGACTCCCACGGCAGGTCCCGTCCCCCCACCACCACCCCAGACTGCATGGCTTGCTGTTCAAAACTCCATCTGAACCCAGGACAAAGAACCAGTTTCTTTGCTCCCATTTCACCACCCTCCCTGATGCTCAAGCACCGGTTCCCATCAGACCCCCACCCAAGTGCAACAGCCCACTTAAGACCTCGGCACGAGAGCCTGCTACTGCTACTCCACAGCCGGCAGGTACTTTCCTCCCTAGCTGGGTTCCTACCCCAGCCTCAGGGGTCGGATCCTTCAAGCACCAGACAGACAGACAGACAGACAGACACACACACACAAACACACACACACACACACACACACACACACACACACACACACAGAGATGCATTGATTTAACCGGGGTAGAGTAATGCTCGGAACTCCAACCTGGAGGACAGACTCTAACAGACCCCCTCCTTGCAGGTGTCTGTCTGTCTGTCTGTCTGTCTGTCTGTCTGCCTGCAGCTGTTTCTGAGTGCACTTGGCATGAGTCGTGCTCAGTTCCTCTGCAGGCTCTTTCTGGTTCTCTCTCTCTCTCTCTCTCTCTCTCTCTCTCTCTCTCTCTCTCTCTCTCTCTCTCTCTCTCTCTCTCATTTCTGTCTCTCCAGCTCTGGCTATCTGGGTTCCTCTCCCTGGAACCCAGTGCTTCTGTCCTTTGTGCTCTCTGTGGGGAAGAGAGAGAGGCAGCAGGAGGCAGCAGGGCGCTCTCCTCTGGGGGAACTGTCTGTGGTTCTCTCTCCTCCTTGTTCAGGCCAGCGGTAAGAAGCAGGGCAGGGCTGGGTGGGAGGCAGAGACCTACCCACCTAGGTATGGCTAATGCTAGCTTACATATTGCTTCATCATGGCACTCTATTGCCCCAAGCCTTGCGAGCACACACAGTCCTCCTTATCTTGGTAAGATCTGCCTGAGGCTAGGAGAGGGTCCCTGCTCCTGTCCTGGCTGCCTCCTCAAAAGATAACCATGCCTCGGTGCCGGTGCCCTCCATGGCACTGCATCAACCCCTTGCTTATCTCCACCCACTGCAGCCAGGCATTAAGCTCTGGAAGACCCCAGAGCCTTCACCCAGAACCCAGCAGCATCCTAACCAGGCCTGTCGTGTGCTAAGATGCAACAGAGTGGTCTGGCAGCAAAGTTCTGCATTCAAGGGTTACGTTTGCAGGAGGCTGGGGTCTTTTCCTCTGACTTCAAGCCTCACCAGACCGAAGCCTCACCCAGACCCGCTCTCCCTGCTCCCCATCAGTTTCACCCCCTTGCCTGCCTCGCACACATTATCAAAACACCAGAAGGGAGGATGGTAGAAAAAGAGAAGCCATCCACGCCAGTAACCAGGATGGAGGAAGTCCTCAAGTGAGGCAGGAAAAGAGGCAAAGTTCCCCTGTTTCCCGAGGTGCGCACATCCCTGCGCCCATCTCCCACCCCGGACAACCCAGCATCCCCAAGATGCAGCAGCGACAGCCACTCACCTGGGCAAGGAGGCATCTACCCGAGGCTTGGAGGCTCCGAGGCCGGCTCCGCAGGGCGCCGGGGCTCCCTGGCTCGGCCACGCATCCTTTCTGGCCCCAGACAGGCTCACGCTAAGCTCTCCACTCCAGCGATCCAGCGAAGGCAGGCAGATGGTGGCCTCGGACCATCCACGCGGGGAGAGCCCTGAGCAGCTTATTCAGTTATATCCATGGCATTTAGCAAGAAGAGGCGGGAGGGGGAGTACAACTTGTGCTCTTCTCTTCCAGATTTAAAAATAATAATAATAATAAAGGGGTAAAAGGAAAGAAAAGATAATCCCTTCTAGGAAGACGAGGTTAGGATTTTCCTGATTGAAGAAACCCGGCATCCCCAGGAACCTGCAGCCTCTTGGAATGTGGGATGTCTTCAAGTTCAGACGAGCCTTTCCTGTGTGTGTGTGTGTGTGTGTGTGTGTGTGTGTGTGTGTGTGTGTGTGTGTCAGAGAGAGAGGGAGCCAGGCACTCACACCCACAGGCACACACACAAACACACTCCCCCGCACTCCCCGCATGCACACTGCCCCCCACGCGTGCGCGCACAAGCTCTCTCTCTCTCTCTCTCTCTCTCTCTCTCTCTCTCACACACACACACACACACTCTCTCTCTCTACACACACACACACACACACACACACACACACACACACACACACACACACACACACACACACAGAGTGATTGCAAGCACAGATGGGGAAGATGCTGCCGGGCTGTGCAGGCAGCTGCCGCCAGAGGTGCAGATAGCCTTTAGAGACCCAAGGCGCCCCAGGACCCGGCGGCAGAGCGCACGGTCCCTGCCCGGTTCTCCAGCACTACAGCCCCCAGTGGCCGCCTGCGGAGCTGCAGCAGCTCCGGACCCCCGGTACCAGCTTCAACACCGACCTACACCCCGGGAATCCGCGGTTCTGACAGCCTTGGTGCGGGGTAAAATGGGCTGAAGCCGCAGACAAGTAGGGCCACAAGCCCCAGGAACTCCGAGTACCGGCTAGATCCGCGGCGCAGTGACAGGGCAGCCCCTGCGCACAGCGATCCCCACGGCCAAGTCGAGCCGGTACTGCCGCCTCTCGTGCGGAGAGCGCCTTGCACACAGCCGCCAGCCTGCCGCCTGCCGGAGGAAAACCCGACCACGCTGGCCCAAGGCTGCAGTGGGGGTGGCGGTGGGAGGATCGTGCCCACCAAGCATTGAACCCATCTATGATCCTGCACTTTAGCCAGGGACATACGGCAACCCGCGCTGGATGCATGTACACACAGCAGACTTTCCCTGAACATGTCAAGACTGTCCAGGCCAATGGTACCTGGAAGTGCGTGTTGGACCGCCCAGCACATTCTCCTCCTCCACCACCCCACACAGGTGATATGGCAAGAAACTGAGACCCCAGATTAAAGCGGAATATCTAAGGCACGTGGTAGGAAGTGGAGTTTTCACTCTGGGCCGCCGTAGGCTTAGAATCACAAGGCTGTACAGCAGGGGTTCAGTGGTCTTTGGGCTATCAGTGACTAATACCTAGGGAAGGTTTAGACTGGGTGATGGCTCTCTGGGCTCTGAAGAGGAGTGTCACGTGTACCTTTCCCTGTGGAGTCCCGTTGTTGCTCCAGCTGCCAACGCCAAGAGCAGGCCTCAGTTGTCTCTGCTGTCCTGATGGCTCACTTGTTCCGTGCACCTGTCCCACTCACCCACAGGGAGGCACATGTGGCATGTGGATGTGTCTTTGTGGTCCGGCTCAGCTGGACACAGCGGTGTGACAGATCCAGTCTCTTGCCTGTCTGGGTGCCCGGCTGGGTGCAGACCTACTGAGGTGCAGGTGGGTCTCCCAGGGAAACGGTCAGATTGGCAGCCACAAAGAGCCTTGGAGACAAGCCCTGCCCTGTAAACACTCTGGGAAGCCCAGAGGGAAAGGACACGGCTAGGCTAGGATGCTGCTGAAGATATAAGGGGTGGGGGACTGGAGGGAAGGAAGTCGACTCCAGAAAAGAGAGCAGGAGGAGAGGGGCTAGAGGAAGGGAAGGGGAGGAAGGCAGGCAGAAACAGCATCTGAAGAGAAGCAGGGAAAGGGCGGGAAGTCAGCAGCTGCCCGTACCTGCCTCTTTGCTTACCTATCTGGAAGTGTCCTAGTTAACAGACATAGCATTGTAGTTAAAAAGCAAGATTAAGTAGATGCATTTTTAAAGTGGACAGAGTGCAAAGGACACACAGCCCGAGCTAATCTCTGAACTCCCCTGGGGAGGTGGGGCACAGGGCTGGGCTACTCATGACTGGGCTCGTCCATGAAGAGACGAGACTGGACCAGTGAGTGAGAGAAAGGCCAGAGCAGAACAGAAACAGGGGTGCGGTGGGTGCGGGAGACACTGGAGATGGTGGGTGTGGGTGCTGGGATGTGCTGAGGTAGGCGGACCCCATTCCTGGCGGGAAGGTTCCCGCTCAGGGAAGGCAGAGCAGCTTCTCTAGAAGAGACAGGACCTGGATCACGAGTGGTTCAGAGGACGACTCAGTTGTGCCTGTCTCAGCACCAAGTGAGTTTGGGGCTTGGACTCACTTGGGTGCCCCAGAAGTTCACTGTGGTCTTGCAAGCATCCATGGACACAGCAAGTCCCTTCCCTTAAAGGGGTTGAATATGTCGAAGAGATGTCTAGCATCCCCGGAAAGACGGGCGAGGCCCTGTATGTGTGTAGGGAAATGGGGAGATAACCTCCACAGCCACCTCAGCCCATGGGAAACTCTGCAGAAGGTGACCCACAGGGATGGTGGGAAGCCGAATGAAAGTTTCTTGGCTCATTGGGCAAGTCCAGAAGGTTATGTAAAGGCAGCTGCCTGGCTAGTGACCACAGAGGTTAGCCAGGGGTAACCAGAGGTCGCTCCAATGCTGTGCGTATGTGTGAGGGGGGTGCACAAAGCTATCTAAGAGAAGATTCCTCTCCACCCCTGCTCTTCCGAATAGCCCTGTGCTGAACAGCTTTGAACCCCAATCTTCTCCCGTTTTTCTGCTCCTTTGCCCAGGCTGGACCCCCCTGGCCTGGAATCACTGCGTTAGGCATATTAATATAGTTCCGTCTTTATATAAGCTCTTGTTGATTTCAGAGCTAAGATACTGAAGTGCAGGCTGACAAATGGCTGCCTAGAGTGCCACCTGGCAGGTGCCTTTTGATGTGTCCAAGCACACCTTCACATTTCTGGGTGGATATTGCAATATCCAGAAATATCATGCTGGAAATTGAAGCTGCCCTCATTTCCTTTCCTTCCTTTCTTTGTTTTTGTTTTTGTTTTCAAGACAGGGTTTCTCTGCATTGCTTTGGAGGCTGTCCTGGAACTCACTCTGTAGACCAGGCTGGCCTCGAGCTCACAGAGATCCACCTGCCTCTGCCTCCCGGGCGCTGGGATTAAAGGTGTGCGCCACAACCGCCCAGCTGCCCTCCTTTCCTTAGTATGACTCCAAACCCAGTGAGGAGAAGGTTCAGGCTCATTCCTACTCCCAGCAGCCACCTGCTCTCCCAGGGACTGCTCACTAGCCTTATCCTATTGTCTGCACCCCTCGGCTCTCTGGCCAGGCTGTAACACGGTTCCCAGGCTGACACTGAAGGGTTTTAATTGCTGATCCCAAGAATGAGACCCTGGTTCTTTCTCTGAACCAGGAAGAAGTAGTGACATCCTGAACTGACCAGAAGGTCCCCATTAGGAGACTATCTAAATGTGGCTCCACAAGCTCAAAACCTCATGATTTTCCTGCACACCAGGGTATTTTCTGAACAAGAACGAGGACCTACCATTGCCCCTTCTGTAAGAGTCAGTCCAAACTTACCTGTCAATCACCTGCAAATGAAAAGCCCCCAGGAAAAGCTGCCTTGTTACAGAGACTTTAGAAATAATATAAAGCCCACCTGAAACGCAGATCAACACAATGGCCCGTCACCCACACTCACCACTGAGAGCCTACACTCCTCTGCTCTGCAGTGACGTCCCTCTTCTACAAAGCACTCTGTCTTGTCTGAATTCTTTCAAAGCAGATCACAAGGATCAGGGAGCTGAGGCAGGGGCATGGCAAGATCCTAGTGACAGCTGTTGAAGAGGCCGAAAGAGAGGGAGGGCTTGGGCCTTGATGGTGTCCATGGAGAAATGCCAGGTCTCGGGGTGAAGGAGCGCTCCTATTTGTTCCCTGAGTAGGAAAAAAAGAGAGGAGGTTGGCTCAAAAAAACAGCGGGAGGTTCAGGTTAGCTGGGAGGACAGCCACCCCTGGGTTATGGAATTGCAGGGTAGAGACTGTTAAGTCCATAGAGTGCTCTGTGAAGGAAGAGTGAAGCCTGGAATTCCCGAGGCTGCCGATGCTCCTCCTCCCAGTTTCCCTAAGCTCAAGGCCAGGGGAGTAGGAGGCATCCTGGTACACAGGGGTTGGGGAGATGGGTCAGTCAGTAAAGTGCTTCTGAGAACCCGGGTTCAGCCCACAGAATCCCCATTTAAAATGCTGAGCATGATGGCACACACTTGTTAACCCAGTGTTGGGGAGGTGGAGATGGGTGGAGATGACCCTGGGGTTCACTGGCCACCCAACCCTAGCTACTAGGAGAGTTTCAGACCAATGATGGACTCTGTCTGGAAAGGAAGAAGAGGAGGAGGTGGAGGAGGGATGGAGGGATGGAGGGACGGAGGGAGGGACTGAGGGAGGGAAGGTAGACAGTTCCTGAAGAATGATACCAAGATAGTCCTCTGGTCACTACATACATAGGCACACACATTATGCACATCTGCACACACATGTGCACACACACACTCGGAACACAGTTACAGGCTCTGGGGGCTCCCTCCATAGTCCATGACTGGGAGCTGGGAACTGGTCCTTCATTCTTGCACCCCATTCAGGCAGCAAGCATAGTTTCTCCCACAGGCCTGTAGGAAGGCAGGAAGTTAGCACATGTCCTCATGAACATGAGCCCAGGGCTCAGCTTTCTGGACGTCTTCCTACTTTCTGAGTATCTTTTATGCTTCTTCCCTTCCCAATGTGTAGTAAGAAGCAGCCAGAATAAAGTCTGATTAGCATGCATATGTATTCCTCAATTCTCTAACAGAATGACTAACACCACCTACAGCCATTAGCCTGAGTTTGTTTTCTAAATCCAGTTTGCTTTTCATCCTGCAGCTCTCTGTTCGCCTCTCCCTCCACCTCAAGCCCAGTGATCCCCCTCTGCTGCTTCTATGCCCAGTCCAGGGGCTGAGCTAACAAAATCTTAGACCATCTTAGACTACCACGAGCAAGCAGCAGACTTGTCTTCACTGAGGTTGGTCTACACGCCACTGAATCCTTTGCTCAGTTGTGTGGAGAAGGAAGGAGAAGGCAGTGTTTCTTCCTGGAGAAAAAGAACCCACATCAAGGCTGGCTGCCACTGCTGTTAGCCATCTATAAAAGACATCTCAGGGTGCTGCTGTCATGGGTTGGGCACAAATGTCCTGTGAAATAGATCGCTATCTCCATTTTGCAAACAAGGACACTAAGGCCCAAGGAAGTA